CAAGAACCAGAAGAGATCAGTACTGCTGACAATGATAGTAAACCTGAATTTGTTCCCGGGGGCTTTGGTTCATACCAACAAAACAGTGACTTTGTTGGTACTCTTGATGATATTCCTGCTGCACTTGTTGTTAAACTTGTTGCCAGGCCACTTGGTAGGTTCTGATTTAATAAGCTTTTTAATTTGCTCAAAAATTTGACAAAATAGTACATGTAGATCTATAGTTATTACACTATGCAGGGTATTTTTCAAAATTTTTTGGAGAAATTGCTCCAAAAGTGCATGAAGCATGCCTTTTAGCTCACTTAGCATACTTATAGTGTGAAACCCTGCATTTCCCATAATATATGTAGTTTCACTTCTTAGTTTAACTCAATTTTTATTTTAGGTGAAAAAATTTCGTCTAATGTTTTTTGGAATATCATTCTCAAGCAAAAAGTTCCAGTGACAACAAGTCTTGTAGCAGTCATGGGTTTACCTAGCTCTGGAAAAACAAAAGTTTTGGAATCCATTCTCAAGCAAAAAGTGCAATTGAAAGCTGGAGCAAGAATTGATCATTACCTTGAAAGAAAGAAAAATGAACAGTGTCTGTCAATATATGAGCTGTGTGCTCTTGGCAGTTCACGACATGACATGTATGCCTGGTCCTTTGCTACTAAGCGCTATGGGGCAATCTTTTCAATTCTTTGTGGTCTGATTCGTCGGTACCCAATTGTATCAAAAATTGAGTTTGAATTTGGAGATCAAAAGTCAGAGTCTGTCATTGACCAGCATGTTCAATGGTTGATGCTTAATATTCAAGATTTACTTAAAAAAATTAAAGATGAGTCGGACAAGCTGACTCTCATTCAAGATGGAGTTTCTCTTATTAACGTAATGGATGTTGGCGTCAACAAAGCTCTTTACGACTTTTTATCTATGATGCTTCTTTCTTGTGGCAGACACATTCGCCTTGCTTTCTTTTCATTGAATAGAGATGGGGCTAAACTGAATGAGAAACCTGACCTACCTTCTAATCGCTATGGAGAAAGAAGAGATGATGTATTAGTTATGCAGCAAAGGTCACGACTCGCATATCTCCTCCATTTTGCTACAGTTGGTTACACCACAAAAGACCAGCATGAACAAGAAACAAAGAATGCTACAGTTATGATTGCAACAAGGAAAAGCTCAGCAACAGGAAGCACACCTTCTTTGGATCAAGCCAAAGAGGAAATAATTGAGCAAGCAAGATCAAGAGGTGTAGACCAGTTTCTAAAGACCTGGATACTAATCGATATTGATGACAAAAAATCCATTACAAAAGAATTTGGGCAAAAGATGGAAGATATTATCAAGAACAAATACGAGCAGCTCACGATACAGCTTCCCCTTCGATGGATATTTTTGAGGAGTCTTGTAGTGTCACTGGACAGTAACGAAACAAAGGCAATTATCCTGCCCAAGAAATATATCATAGAAATGGCAGACAAGCTGATGATGAAAGAGGATGAAGTTGAAGATTTTCTAAAAACTTTCACAGATTTTGGCAGCATTCTTTACATGCCTCAGTATGATGATATTAAAGATATTGTCATTGTCAATATTTGGGAGTTCACTCAGTACCTGAACAAAATTTACTATCCTCAGGAAGGAGAACCAAATGCTCTCAATCTGCTAAAGTATGGAATCATATCGGAATCATCTGTGAAGAAAATCTTCTACAAGTATCCTGATAAATTTGCTGAAAATTTCATGAAAGTTCTTACGACTATTGGGATGTCCTCTAAAATCAATAGTGGTCGGTCTATTCTTGTTGACAAGAATCCTCTTTTGCCTGAAGTACACTATTATTTACCACTAGCAAGAATCCGTGAAGTGTACGCAGCACCAGAAGAAGAGATTGATTATGCTTTCATTGAGATAGAGAGTGTCAACTTCCCAGCCAATGTACAAGCTGGCATTAGCTATGCCATTATGAAGAATAATGATGATGCTGTTCTTATTGCCACAGACTACAGCAATGTCTCACGATTTTTATTCCAATCCAAGAGTGGTCCTTCCATTACAATAGAGATGATATACAAAGGAAGCAAGACAATATTAAGAATACTGAACAGCTCTAGTGACATAGACCTACTCACATCTCCAGCAGCAGTTGAAGCATGTTACAAAGTAATTACTGCTTCATGCTGGTGTCTTCAAAGAAAAATTAATACTATACGAGACCTCAAATACAGTTTTGCTGTTCCCTGTGCATCATTTAAAAATGCCTGTCATTTTCTTTATTTTGGTCGTGACCCTCAATTTTGTGATGCTTGTTTAGATAAAAATAATTTAAGATTCTGCTGGAGCACAGCAGCAAAGCAGGTAACCCCAATAATAATAATAATAATAATAATAATAATAATAGCATAATGCAACAACCTAATTTGTGATGTCAAGAGTCATCTACTCTTGGTAATGTGTATTTAATTTTTTGCATTTTTTATGTAGTGTGAATTGTTAAGCAAAGGTAGTGAAGCAAGAATGAATGAAAGTATGTGTCAATTCAGTTATTGCTTATTAATGTTATGTTTTTAGATAAATCACTCAAATTTGAAGATATTTCTAGTATTATTACAAACAAATATGATTTTGATGCATTAAAAAAAGCACTGAACATTGATGAAAGTAAATTATTAATTAGTCCAGAAGATGATGACAGCAGGAAGAAAGCAATGATGTGGATGCTACTTTTGTGGGAAGGACAAACAGAAAATCCTACTAAATATTCTCTGTTAAGCACACTAAGGGAAAATGGGTGCGATAGTATTGCTGTAAAACTAGAAAGTCTCAATTCTCAGAAAAGTCAGTATGCATTAGATTATTAACATATCCTGCATGCATGGTGTAGAGTTTTGTGTATATGTATACCATGTATGGCCACACAATTTATTGATCTGGATTTCAATTTATAATCTAATATCATGATTTTGCTTAAAATTTTTTAGAATTTAGCTTTGTAAATTTTGTACCTATATGGACTATGGTGTGTTTTGTTTAGATGATCAAGAAATTGTAGAGAAAAAGAAATCTTTACTTGAGCAGGATCAATTTAGCAATAAGAAGACTGTAAGTGTGTCCGCTGAAATCCCTTCAATAGGTAAGATATAAAGGCTTCATGCAAATGTATTTGTAATGCTAGATAATTTGGAATGTCTGAGTGATGTTCAGGTAGCAGAGAAGAAGCTGTTCTTAATTCAAGGAGACAAACCTCAACTGATGAATTGGGAGAAATATGGTCTAAGGATTGGAGTGCAAGAAGGAAGCCTATTGTCCTCTGAGACAGTAGAAGCAGCAGTGGTTGCTCTTGTAGGAGGACAGTTCCAGTTTCCTCCTAATACTGTCCTAGTGAGTGCTGTGTATGCAGTATCACTCTCAAAGCCTCTCCTCAAACGACTCAAGTTAGAGATACAGCACTGTGTTGATTTAACAGGACAACCAGATCTCGCACAATACTTAAAGTTTGCTATAGCTCCCATGAGCACACCCAGTCTTCCTTACCAGTTTAAATTAGTTGAGGGAGGAGAGTTTAGCTCTAATGGTGGGTATGGATTCATTGAGCGTAAAGATTTCTGTTTGGTGTGCATACTGGGATTGCTAATAGTATCTATGACTGGAGGAGGAGGAGGAGGAGGAGGTCAGCAGCAACAAGGAACAGGATCTCAAGGAGCAGGTATAGTACCAGCTCAGGGAGGAAATGCACCAGTCCCTCACCAACAACCAGTAGTTAACCCACAAATCCAAGGAGAGCAGTCACAAGAAGGGGATCAATCACAGTCACAAGAAGGAGAACAGGAACAAGGAGGAGATGCACTGACAGTACTAGCCCAGCAACAGCAATCAGGAGCTAATGAACAAACCAATGGACAACAAGGAGAGGAGGGACAAGAGAGACAGGAAAAACAAGAGCAGTCGCAACAACAAGGATAGCACCCAGAAGAATCTCAGTTGCAGAAAGGAGATCAATCACAATCACAAGATGGAGAGCAAGATCATCAAAGAGAAGGAGGAAACCAACAAGAAGGAGAAGGAGAGAAGGAGTCACAGGAACAACCAGAACTATTGGAACTACAACAGCAAAAGGGAGGACAAGATGAAGCTGATCCTGTGCATGTAGAAACTGTGGAAGAGAAGGAGCAAGTTGATGAGAATAATGTGCTTGTTGGTACTTCACTTGTTGCTTGTAAGAGTGAAGCTGAAGTAGTCAATAAACCAAATACTGAGACTAAAGGTGGTAAATAACTAAATATACACTTTATTGATACTGTATGTACTGTATATTATTACTAGAAGTACAGCCCACTGGTGTAAAGGAGGCTACAAATTATGCTGGTCTGGTTTATTATGAGGAAGATGGTGTACAAGATCTAGTGACATTCACTGCCGTTAAAAAATTAGATGCTCTCCTTGAAGTAATTCATAGTATGATTGATAACTTGTTCATTAGTTCTATAGTTCATTAAAAAAGAACATCCACATGCAAAACGAAGACCTCATTTTTACTTTCGTATTGCATCTCCTGATGGTTTTGTTGAATTAAATTTAAATGCTCCACAAGATGAGCCATTTACTGGATGGAGTATTAAACCTCACATAAAACCTTGCAAGGTAAAAACTATTTTATGGATTGTTTCATCAAATTACTTTCATAATATAGTTATATCAAGAGGACATTTACAATTTTGGTGACAAAGATTATTCTCTTCCTCCATCTTGTCTCATATCGGTCTATTCATCACCTGATGCTGTTCCTATATTATACTACTCTGTACCAGTAGAGGGTGTGGCTGATCCTGTTACATTTTATATTCAGATGTCACAAAGAACAGCTCATCATACTGCAGGTAATAATCAGTTTATTAATATTCATTATATACATGTTATGTATATTAGTTGCTGCTAATGCAGCCAGTGGCAATGATGAAACTATTCCAGTACTAACTAAAAGAAGAAGAGAAGGAGGTAAATGTACACAACATGTTATGACTAGCTATTACTATTGGTATTGTAGGTTTTGATATTAAAACAGCTAAACAAAAGATCAAGCAAGTGATGATTGAGAATCACACTGATTTTGCTGAACTCCTCCAGTTTTCTCTGGACAATATTGCTAACAAACTGTTTGAGGTTCATATGATTCCTCCTGAGGTTCAACAGTCACCAACTTATGATGCCATAGCTACTTGTTTTGTATCTATGATGAATATATTGGACTCTAAGTCTGACCTAGAGGGACATTGTGTGACATTTTTAGAGGCTCTGTCTAGTGTAGGGGGACCAACAGAACGTGTCGCTAAACGATTGCGGGAAAAATGGACAGCAGCTTTAGAGGGTGCACTTCGGTTTGAACATGAAAGCAGTTAGAATAATTATGATGGTATACACTATTAATTTTATCTTCAGTTTTTAATTATTTTTCGTTCAGCTAAATAATGTTAGTTTTAACATGTATATTAGAGAGTACTGTGGTTTTAAATTTTCAAAGTTATTTTACTAGCCTCAATGACAACATACTTTTAGACTAAAAATTATGCTTATGCTTTGTGTCATTTGTGCCTACAACATTGTTTTCATTGTTGTGTAAATTTTGAGGTGTTCAAGATCATATTCATAATTTCTTAGAAATGGGAGTAGTAGATGTTCTGTAATCAAACTGTAGGTGGAACTTGGAAGTTGGAAGGGGAGTGACATTGTCAAGTTGAGTTTCTGAGAGAAAAGAGATGGCATCTAGGTAAGTCATAGGCATTAGGCAGGATAATAGACAATACATAACATTATGTCACTGACTGTGAGATTCGTGCTTTTTAGAACTTATCATTATATAGACTGAACACTTTCTTTTGTTAAGTGTTCTTCTTTTGTTTCAGTGATTTTCAGTTGGATGAATCAATTGATGCTGCTAGTACCCCTAGTGATCAGGATACCTGCTTTGTTATTGGTGATCAAGATTACACTTACCAGGATAAAACCCAATTTGATGATGCCTTTGATGACATAGCCATTGCCCTTAAAGTTGAACCATTTGGTAGGTTATGTATATATTTTGATCATTTGCTCTGTATTTCAGACTGCACGGGATTTAAAATAGTCATGTTGTTTTTTCCTTATTCAAAAATAATCTAGTTTAGTTTTTGTTTATCAACATTTGATAATATTTTAGCATTCAAAGTAATAAACTTACATCACATGTATCTTTATTTGATAGATAAAAAAATCTCTCTTGATGTATTTTGGAATATCATTCTCAACGAAAAGGTCCCAGTTGTAACGAGTCTTGTAGCAGTCATGGGCTTACCTAGCTGTGGAAAGACAACTGTTTTGGAGTCCGTCCTTAAGCACAGGATAAAATTAAAGCCTGAGGCAAAGTTAGGATTTGATCAATACCTCAAAAGAAAGAAAAATAAGGAATCTCTGTCGATATATGAGCTGTGTGCTCTTGGCAGTTCACAACATGACAAGTACGCCTGGTCCTTTGCCACCAATCGCTATGGGGCAATATTTTCAATTCTTTACAATATAATTCGTCGAAACCCATGTGTGGCAGATATTAAGTTTGAAATGGGTAGTCGGTCACAAGATTCTGGAGGAATGGATAAGCATGTGCGATGGTTAATGGGCAGGGCACAATATGTACTGGAGAAAATCAAAGACGAGCCTGGAAAACTGGCCTTACTCCAAGATGGTATCTCTTTTATTAATGTAATCGATGTTGGTGTCAATAAAGCTCTTTATGATTTCTTATCAATTATGTTGTTGTCCTGCCACCAACACATTCGTCTTGCTTTCTTCTCACTGGATAGAGATGCACCAAATCTTGGTAAGACACCTGATCTACCTTCTGATCTTTATGGAAAGCGAAAAGATGATGTTTTGGTTATGCAGCAAAGGTCTCGACTCACGTATCTCCTCCATTTTGCTACAGTTGGTTACACTCAGCAGCAGCGCAATGAAGAAGAAGAAGCACTGAATGCTACTGTTATGGTAGCTACAAGAAAGGAATCAGCTACCAATTCTGGTATAAGTAAAGCCAAAGAAGAGATTATGAAACAAGCGAAATCTCAAGACGTAGACCAGTTCCTACAACACTGGCTACAAGTTGACATGGATGATGTCCAGTCTATTGCTAAGGAGTTTGGAGATGAAATAGAAGCCCTCATTAAAAGCAAATACAAGCAAGGTACGATACACATTCCTCTTCGATGGATAGTTTTTCGAAGCCTTGTTATATCTCTTGATAGCAAAGGATCAAAAGTTATGATCCTACGAAAAAGTTTTATTCTAGATATGGCAAAGAAGCTGAAGATGACAGAGACAGAGGTTGATGAATTTTTAAAAACATTCACAGATTTTGGTAGTGTTCTCCACATGCCTCAGTATGACAGTATTAAAGATATTGTCATTGTCAATATTTGGGAGTTCACTCAGTACCTGAACAAACTTTTTTATCCTCAAGAAGGAGAACCGTATGCTGCCAATCTGCTGAAGTATGGAATCATATCAGAATCATCTGTCAAGGAAATTTTTTACAAGCATCCAGAGAGTGCTCAAGATTTTATGTTAGTTCTTACGACAATTGCAATGGCCTCTAAAATTGAAAGTGGTCAGTCTATCCTCATTGACAATCAGCAGCAACCTGATGAGGCACACTATTATTTACCGTTAGCAAGAACCCGTGAAGTTTACAAACCATCAGAAGAAGAGAATGATTATGCTTTCATTGAGATAGAGAGTGTCAACTTCCCAGCCAATGTACAAGCTTGCATTAGTAATTCCATTTTGGAGAATAATGAAGATGCTGTTCTTATTGCTACAGAACACAGCAACGTTTCACAATTTTTATTCCAATCCAAGAATAGTCCTCCTGTTAAGATAGAAATGATATACAAAGGAAGCAAGACAAGATTAAGAATAATGAACAACTCTAACGACATACTCACATCTCCAGCAGCAGTTGAAGCATGCAAAAAAGTTATCACTGGTTCATGTCAATGTCTCCAAAAAAAATTTAATATAATACGTGACCTGAAATACAGTTTTGCCGTTCCCTGTGCATCTCCTGAAGGTGGATGTCATTTTCTCTATTATGATTGTGAGCCTCAACTTTGTGATGCTTGTTCAGCTGAAAATAATTTTAGATTATGCTGGAGCAAGGCAGCAAAACAGGTATATAATAGTCTGAATGCACTACACAATTTATCTGTACATTTACTATTGTTTTGTTCATGTGTAGTGTGAATTGTTAAGCGAAGGTAGTGAAGCAAGAATGAATGAAAGTATGTGTCAATTCAATTGCATGTGCTTAAATTGTAAATCATTCATTATAGGTATTGATTCTCGGGACATTATTAGCATTATGAAAGCCGAAATTCATGATTTTGATGCCTTTAAAAAAGCACTGAATATTGATGAAAGTAAACTCTCTAAATTGAGTAGTCCAGAAGATGAGGAGAGCAGAAAGAAGATGGTTATGTTGATGCTGCTATTGTGGGAAAGACAAACAGACAAGCCTACCACCAGGCATGCTCTGATTACTAAACTAAGAGAAAATGGGTTGGATGATATTGCAAAAAAGCTTAAAAACCTTAACACTACTATTTTATATTAATCTATTTTAATAATGCTTTAGTTGGTCTGCATATTTTTGGAGTACACATACAGTGTACTTTAATATCTATGTTTTTGGTTTTTGTCATTATTTCGGAGCCCCGCCTAATCTCGTCTACACCCACGCCCTTCATAGTTAATGGACGCTCAGAAGGACTTGGATACAAGGTGAGCAAAAATCCCCTATCTTTTTTTACTGCATGCAAAATTGGCTTTATTTATAGCATAAAAGCTGAGCATGTATCTGGAGACAGTATAGATATTGATGAAAGTGGGGCAGTACATCCAGTTCTTCGGGCACCAACAGGAGATGATTATGGAGCCGATTCTGATTCCCCCTATCCCCTTCCATTTGATGCCACTGCTGGAACAGGAGGTGGGCATACCGTCACTGACCTCGTTACTGGCAGTGAAAGCTTCAATTATGAAACTAACAGCCTTTTTGGCACTTTGGTTGAGGATATTATCGTATTCCTTGATGTACACTCAAAGGATCAAAAAGGTAAGGTATCTACATGACTTTGTGAAATTTTGACAAAATGAGGTTGTCTTTCTCACCTTTTTGTGTATATTGCAACAATGTAGAGTATCTTTGCCAATTTTAATGTCCCGATGATCATTTTTGAAATGAAATGAATATCTAAAATTGCATCTTTGGAAATAAAACATTTTATCCTTTAATTAGTATGGCATTAAATACTTATTATAGCTATTTTTCGTCCTTATAGTGATTACCCAAAGACAATTTCGGGACGTCATCCTTCGTCAGAAAATTCCAGTGACGACATGTCTAGTGGCGTTCATGGGTCTACCTTGCACTGGAAAGACGACAGCCATAGAGGGGATGCTTAAAGAGTTTATAAAGTTAAAAGAAGGGTCAAAATTTGACTTTGATACATACAT